TGTAAGTCACACAGAGCTCATGTCACCTGCCTCATCTTAAGTTTTATACCATGGTTACCTGGAAGCATTCCACCACATAGGATTTTATTATTTCTTTAAATAGTTTGTTGATATGAATATTAAGTGTATCCTGGCCTCAAATGTCTGAACACTTAGTCTCCACTGAGTGGTGCTGTCTCTGGAAGATTGTGGAACCTTTAGTCCAGGGGAAGAAGTGGGTAACTGGAGGAGGGCCTTGAGGAGTCACGCCTCCAGCCTACTTCTGTTTGCTTCTTGCTTCCTGTTCCACTAAAATGTGAGATGAGGGGTATCTACCTGCATCATGGACCTGCCTCCCACCATGCTTCTTCCTAAAGTGTCTGGTAATAGCGACAGGAGAAGGAACTAGTAAACCCACAGGCAACCCATCCTTGCCTGCTAGTTCAGTGCCAGGCAGATTTACTGACTTCGTTTAGAATCTCCTGAGCACACAGAACACTACTGTTTAACTTAATTTCCCATGGATTTTTGCAAAATGACTCCAACTTTGAACCACCAAAATCTCATACATCAGACAAAATCACTTTCTCTCCAATTATGTTTAGAAATGCAAATATTTTTTTAAAAATATATTACTCCTAGCAAAGTCTTTATTCCTGCTCAAACTCATTGTAGAAAACAGATCTCAAATGGACTTTTTCCATTTGCTTTTTTCACTTTGAATAGGTGTAGATGAGAGACAAGTGAGCCAAGACTGAGAGGATGGAGTATAATCGAATCCAACCACTCTCTGCAGCAAGAATCACAATTGGCAACAGTCTTCCAGCTGATTCCATAGTAATAAGAATTGCACTCAATCTTGAGGCAACCTTGTTTTCAATTTGCTTCTTATGTTGAACTTAAATTCTGCTTCCTGCATCTTCTTCTGACTTTAGACTCTTCCCAAATGCCTCTATGATCATAGAAGATGGCCCCCATATTGCTTTGCTATGGATAACAATTTAAAAATCAAATAACCTGAGCTGTTTATACCTATTAGTCACACACAAATAAGAGTGTTTTGTGTTCAGCACATGAGAATAATTGTCTAGACTTACACCAAATTCAGAAGCTACCTGTGACTTGGTCTCCCTAGGACTATCAGCAGTGTTTTATACATAGAACCAACACCAGGCAGCTTGGGTGACAGCATCTTTAACAGTCAGTCAGTCAGATCTCAGAGCAAACAAACCCAGGTTGGTATCTCTGCTGCCTGAGAAGGACTGGCCTTATATACCAAGACCAGATAATGAAAAGCAAGCAGATGGAGATTTCAAAAATGAAGGCAGATTAAAAATCAAAAGGGTAAACTTTCCAAGCTGCAGGCATTGATTTGTAATCAAGTTCTTTTCAAATTGCTTTGTATATGGGCAGCAATCCATAGCATACTCACGGGAGCATAGCATAGTAGTGGTTTCTTTAAAATGATGTTTAATGATATCCCTCAAGGGTCAGCTAGTAAAATAATACATAAACCTCATAAACTACAAAGCACCATCAAATGTGATGCTGTCTCATCCTAGCCTGAACTCTTACTGAATGCTCATCATGTGTTTATTTTTACACTAGCTAGTGGCTAGAGATGTGCTGTCTTTGTTGTATCTAAGTACATGAATTACAAAAATCATCTCACCAGATGACTGATCATGTAAGTGATTTCTTTACCTGCTTCTAAGTGTGTGAAAAATTATTCTATATTAAAAGTTCATGAATTTATGGCTCAGATATAAAGTTAAAAAAAATCTCAAGGTAGTCAAGTGCATAAAGGGGCAAAAGAAATAGCAGAGGATTGTATGTGTGTGCATACACACACACATGGGCACACATATGCATGTGTGCATAGGTAAGCATGTGTGTGTAGCTTGCATATGTAGGTGCATATGTGGCTAATATGTATAGGTGTGTTCATGTAGAGGACAGGGTCTGTCACTGGTCTGGAGCTTGCCAGGTATTCCTGGCTAGCTGGCTAGTGAGCACCAGTGATGTGTCTGTGTCCACCTCCCTAGAACTGGGATTACAAGTGTGCACCACCACACTTGGCTTTGCATGTAGTGGTAGGGTGGAGTCCTAGGCAAATGAAGGCAGGTCCTTATGCTTTCAGTGCAAACACTTGACTATTTTAGCTCTCATCCCTGCCTGGGAGAATTTTTGACTGAAGAGAAACAGTCTTTCCTGGAGGCAATGGCATAGTTTCCAAATAGAAAAGGTAACAACTAAAAAGACACAGGTGTATTTCTGGCCATGTTGAAGATTTTATCCAGACATAGAGTAATGGAACTAAATGCTTTCAAAAGCTTGTTCCAGATTAGTAGATGTTCCTGAACCAGTAATAATGTATCAATTAAGATGATACCAATGAGTCTTCCCAGAAAGTAGACAAGAAGAGTGTCTCCTAAAGAATCAGACACAAACACAATCAGGCCCAGACTGCCTTGTGCCCATGAAAGAAGTGAACATCTCCTCTCACTTCCATTAGTGATGGCAATCTATACGTGACACTGGTTAAGGATGTACACTCAAGGCTCAGTCGTGGGTGCAAGTCCTGGCTATGTCTGTAGTACCAGCCTTTCCCTTAGTAAGTAAGTACTTCCTTTTCCTTGTCCCATAACAGGGTCCTACTGAACACAAAATGTACACAAAACATGCTTCCAACAGGGTCTGGCACTTGTAAATGCCTTGCTCTGTGCTTTCTTCTGGGTCTTACAGCCCAATCCAATTACTAGAATTGTCTATGGTAAAGGGCACAATGAAATTACTTATATATTCTATTTAGGTCTCTTTTAACTCTTTTCTTTTGTGGGGGCGAGTGGATGTATGATAATGTGCACACATGAGCTTGTATGTGGAAACCAGAGGATGACAATGGGTGTCTTCTCAGTTGTTCACCAACTGATTTCCTTCTACAATGTCTTTTACTAAAACTGTGAGCTGCCTATCTTGGTGTGGAGAATCTGAACTCCCAAGTTTTCACACTTTCCAGGCAAGCCCTTTACTGACTAAGACAGAGCAACTAAACTGTATTTATGGTAGTTTCCAAGAGAAAGTGAGGAGAAGCATGATGGGAGATGTCATTCTGTATATGTTTCTCATACTGGTTAATAATAAAGCACTGTTGGCCAATAGGAAAGGAAGATAGGAGGGACTAGGAGACAAGGAGGAAATAGGAAGTAGGAAGGAGGAGTGAAGATGGAGAGTCTGAAGAAAGCAGTATGCCGCCGGCTCCCTGGTAAGAGAAATACATAGATCAGCAGAAATGGGATAATAATTAAAGGCAGAGCTAGCCGATAAGAAACAAGTAACCAGGCCAACAGTATTGTATCAAATACAGAGTCTCTGTGTATTATTTGGGGCTGGCGGCGTGGCGGCAGGACAAGACCAGTGGCAGCAGGCGGAAAAAACCGTACTCGTTACAAATGGCGCCCAACGTGGGGCAAGCAAGGTTTCTTGGTAGCAGCATTTTTCTGGGTTGGACTCTGACTTGCTAGAGACAAGCAGATATTCGCGAGGCTCCTTTAAGGGAAGGTTCCTGACTCAGCATAAACGGCAAAAATCCGCACAGCTTTTAAATAACTCTGCTAACAGTTTATTGGTGTGTATGAGAGATGGCAATGGCAGTGACCACATCTCCAAGCCGGCGGCGTCCAGCTCTCTCCTGACTCTCCATCTTGACTCCTCCTTACTACTTCCTATTTCCTCCTTGTCTCCTAGTCCCTCCTATCTTCCTTTCCTATTGGCCAACAGTGCTTTATTATTAACCAGTATGAGAAACATATACAGAATGACATCTCCCATCATCTCCTCTTTTCTGTTTAAATAAAAAGAAGGGGTTTAACCTTAACACAGCAAAATATATAACACAATGGTAACACCAAAAAGGAAGATGGACATTAAAGAAACACATTATGGAGTTTACTTCCATTATGGCAAGACTAGCCATTTGGACAAGATACTCCTCTTGTCTGGACTGTTTGACTTTGTGATGTATAAACTGGACATGCAGGACCCACAGGAAAGTGACTTCTGATACAAGATGGACATTGCTACAGAGTTCCTGCTTCATGGAAGAATCTGCCAGACAGTCTGCAGGACACAGAGAAAAGTGACTGACAAACTGCCAATACAAGAAGACAGTTTAAAGTTTCCTGCTTTGCTGAAGAGTCTGCCAGACACACTATGGCCTATGGGCTGAAGATGGAAGATTACAAAAGAACTTCGGGTGACCAGGCAGTGAGTTGTCTCTGTCATTTCTAGAGTTTATATACTATCCTTCTGTGGTCTTTGATGGAGTTGAAGACAGATAGTTATGGTTATCGTTTTCCTTAGTTAGGTTTACAGATAAGTTACAAATAGGACTTTGGACTCACAAATATAGGATAGATGATAGAATAGTTTCTTTTAATCTTGATAAATGTTAATGGACTAAATATTGTTAACTGTGATTCTTATTTGATAACTCTTATGTAATATATTTTGCTATGCTAAGGTTAAAACCCTTCTTTTTATTTAGACAGAAAAGAGGAGATGATGGGAGATGTCATTCTGTATATGTTTCTCATACTGGTTAATAATAAAGCACTGTTGGCCAATAGGAAAGGAAGATAGGAGGGACTAGGAGACAAGGAGGAAATAGGAAGTAGGAAGGAGGAGTGAAGATGGAGAGTCTGAAGAAAGCAGTATGCCGCCGGCTCCCTGGTAAGAGAAATACATAGATCAGCAGAAATGGGATAATAATTAAAGGCAGAGCTAGCCGATAAGAAACAAGTAACCGGGCCAACAGTATTGTATCAAATACAGAGTCTCTGTGTATTATTTGGGGCTGGCGGCGTGGCAGCAGGACAAGACCAGTGGCAGCAGGCGGAAAAAACCGTACTCGTTACAGAAGCAAGTGCTTCTGATAAAAGAAACTACAACACACCTTTGGTATCTCCCTCACAAAACACTTCAATCCCTGTCCCACACCCTCAAAATACATGCATGCCAACCTTCTATGAAGTCTGCAGCTGTGTAAGGACGCTGGTGTGGGCTGCTTTCCTCAGGGCTGTTCAGACTCTCCAGAGCAAATTCGATGGCTTCCACCAGCTCATCTCGCTTGTCTTTCCTCACAGGCTTCTCCTCAGGGTGGCGAGTCAGGCCAGTCTCCAGCTGATACACTTTTTGCAGGGTGAAGCTATCAAAAGGCACGGCAGCGTATTCTGTGGCCAGTTTGATACCCGCATGTACCTCAGCCTTGTCCACCTGCCCACGCAGGAAGGCCAGCAGATCGGCCTGGGCTTTTGGTGCAGGGTCCCAGCCTGAGCGCAGACCAGTGGCATCGCTGGCCTGGTCCAGCCCGCTGCGGAGCTGTTCACTGTGTGCCTGCAGTTCATCCTTGAGCTGTGCGATCTGCCGCTTAAGGCTGTTCACGTAGTTGCGATGCTGTTCTTCACGCTCTTGCAGCACCGCTTGGTAGCCATCTTTGCCTGTGGGGCCATTGGCCCAGGGCAGTCCCTTTTGCTCCTGGTCGCCTTTTGGGGTGCAAGCTAACATGTAGAGGACAGAGATGGCACAGCAAAGCAGTACCAGCACAATCACCACCCGAGAAATCCACCCCAGCAGCCCACGGCGGACCATTCTCATTCAGGTGCAGGCCATGTGTCCAGCACGTGCAGCATCCCAGGAAGCCAGAAAGGCCCCATACAAGGGCTTTCCTGGTTAGATCACAGTGCCTCTGAAGCTCCCTGGACCAATTATATCCATTTCCTTCTAGAATGTGGCCTGCCTTTAGATGTCAACCATGACACAAGACCACTCTCCTGTTTCCAAGAGAAGATCTTCCAGGCAGAAACAATCAGTCAAATGGAACCTCATTTGTTCCCATCGTTGTCCTCCTGACATGCCAAGGATGAGGGGGAACCTGAGAAGACACAAAGGACAGGTACCCTTAGTGTTTTATTCAGTCTTTAACATTTTACATACAGGATCCCTTTCTATCTGAGAAAGTTTCACTTGATCCAAAGCACATAAATATTTAAAATGAGCACACAAGTCAAATACTTAGTCACCACAAAACATACATTTCTTTTAAATATAATTGCCACATTTATTGAAGAATAAGCAGATGTGTGTGGTGATATATTGTTTATGATCTAATAAAGACACTGAAGATCAGAGAAGCACAACATCCAAGCCACCAGAAAGCTCTTACCTCTGCCAAGGCTGGAAGGGGTATCCTGTCCTCAATGTGACTGTAAATTCTGAATGCCCTACTACTATTTTTATATACCTCTCTAGAGCTGGGGTTAAAGGTGTGAGCTCTAGTTCTCTTTTAGACTGATTCACTCTCGTGTTGTCCTGGGTGGCTTTGAACTCACAGAGATCCATCTGCCTTTGTCTCCTGAGTCCTGGGATTAAATGTTTGTGCCACCACTGCCTAGCTTCTGTGGCTGTGGCTGGCTTTGCATTCTGATCTTCTGGCAAGCTGTATCAGATCATAAGTGAGATTTCATCGCAGATGAGCATATTAATGAGTTCCATGTGATTAGTGTACATAATTCAACTTGGTGGAATTTGGTACTACAGGATGGAAAACTCATGTTCATCATTTTGTAGAACTGGTTCTATAATCACTGATGCTAAGTAAAGCGCTTTGCATAAATGTATAATGAAAACCAGTAGAAGCCTGTTTAAAGCTTTTTCAGAAATTTGCTGAAAATGCTGTCCTGATCCAAAGTCAACATTTGTTTAGCCTTTATTTATGAAAACCTAGTGGAAAACTCATATAGAATATATTTAATCCAAATATTTCAACAAAATCAAATCCAAGATACACCAATTTCATACTTACATTCTGAGGAACAGCAGAAGGAAAAATACTAAAAGACTTTGTTTACTACAATCAAGCCAACATATATCGACAAGAGTGGAAAATTTTGCATATTCAATAAATACACTGCAGTTCATAACATAATTCTGGGCTGAGATGTTTTGGGTATTCACTGTTGTTTTTTGGTGTAACAGTATGTGCAGTGCAAAGTGCACGTGTTTTGTCTTAAGAATCAAGGCTTCCATGAAGTGTTCCAGTGCAGCTTGGGTCAGTACTGCTAGAAACACTTAGATTCACTGGGCATTTGATTTCAAAGTCATTTTTCTCTCTGCATGTCTAGAAATCTTACAGTTGCTGAATTTCTCATGAACCCCACATTCAGTTCCATGAAATTGCAATTCACTGTGTAAGACTCTGAAGTCCCATTCACTATGACAATCAATAGTCAATTGGCTCCCCACTCCTACAACAATATTTATGGAAATTGTTTACAGCAGATACTTAAGTATAAGTGTATCTGTAAATCATAACACAAAGTGCATCAAAGGGAACCTAAAAAGATTGGGTAGGAATCATTGCTAAATACAAACAGTACTTCTGCTGAGAATGGAGACTGATGTATTGACTCATCTCTGTTTTTCAGTATATTGTAATTCTTCATGGAGATACATACTGGAGTGCTCCAAAGCAAAACTTCGATGTCACTGAACTCACTGGTAGCAGATTTCTCCACCAGTGCTGGCTAGTAGCCACATGTGGATACCTGTACGCTAGCTGTCCTCTGGAGCAGGCCTAAGGGCCATCAGAATAGATGCTGAGCTTTCTGAATAAGTAAAGAAGTATCCAGAAGTTTAAATACAGAAGTACAAAGTGCTGATGGTAACACAGTCAAAGGAATCTGTGACAAAGATCTCGCCAAATCTCTAATAACACCTGCAAGTGGCAAAGAGGACTCTACCACAGAAAGGGATGGGTTAGGAGAGAAGAGATGAGATGCTGACTCTTCTGGCTTATACGAGGACTTATGTGTCTTGCTTAGTCATCAGTAGATCTTAGAATGACCACACCCCAACATTCAATCCTTGTAATAAAGGAGGAGCAAGCCAGACTCAAGTCTCCATGTCCCAAAGGCTACTCTTCCTCCCTCCTCTACCACAGACAGCACCCTTGACACAATAGTTTGATTTAGACCATCCTAGTCATTATAGCCATAAATTAATCAATAAACCAATAAAAAGGATCAAATAAATATTTTTGTTTAGGAATATTTTCATAGACCCTTCCTGGTATTTTTACATACAAGGTATCTTAAAGTCAAGGAGGATCTGCACTCTGCCGTTTTATGAAAATGACATTTTAAATAATACCTATATGGTGAAATTGCTTTTTACAATATTTGTGCTCAACCTCAGCAGTCTAGAATCTGGTCTAATAATTACTTCTTTTCTTAATATTGTGCCCCAGTCTTTATGAGAAGAAATTGCAACTACAGATCCTCTGGTACAAAGAGATTCCACTGCCATTCTCTGACTCAGGATATGGTGATGATCCAGGCTCACTGGCCCATCCTGAATGTATCATGCACTTGGTGCATTTGATGTTCATACAGAGAAAGCCCTCTTGCACTGCCCAGGAGACAAGCCTCTTACTAATGTCCCCACACCACCAAAATTGTTTATTGCTCCACTTTGTGTAAAAGTTTAATATATAATGTTTTGTCTCTGATATATTCTCTAGAATTTCTCTGGCCCCAGGGAGTCTTTCAACTATCATTTAGAACAATACATAATTATTAGTACAAGGTTTAAAGTGCATGCTTGCCCTTGGAAGCCTTTTATGTCTGATGAAAATCTCAGGATTTGTATAATTACTATAATTCTGTGATTAAAACCATCTTGGTTTTGATGCTCAGGCACCTTGCTGTTTTTAATGAAATCTCTCAGACTAGCTCATTGTAGCCAAGTAGTAAATTGTCAATGAGGACATGTTATCATATTAGTCTGCCATTTTAAAGACTTTTATTTTAAATACGTTGTCATTACAGACAAAATAAAAAATCAAAAACAAAGAAACAGAACATTCAACACAATTTATTGTGCTGTAGTAACTTAAGAGATACCATCATGTTAACAAATTTTAATGAAATAAATGTTACATTTGCATAATGGATTGAAGTCATCATGCTGCTTTAACCAAGGCAATGCAATAAGACTATGGTTAAGAAAATTAAAACTAGGGCTGTGGTGGTGAATTCCTTTAATCCTAGCACTCTGTAGGCAGAAGCAGGCAGATCTCTGTGTTTGAGTTCAGCCTTGTCTACAGTGAGTTCCAGGACAGCCAGGGCTATGTAGAGAGACCCTGTCTCAAACAACAACAACAAAGGTTAGCAGAAAATTAAAACTATAGGCTATCAATTATACCCATAAGTGCTTTGATTACAAGGATTGGGGTTGGCAGTGAGATGACTCAGTGGGTAAAGGCTCCTTCTGTCAACCCTGGAAGTTAGGGGATCCTAAACTTCATACAGGAATACAGAGAACACAGGTGCCTGACCAATCCTATGCAAAAATAATGGTGCCTGAGTTATTGAAACATGTTCTGGCATAGGCATAGTCATGCAGGACATGGAACATGAATTGAACTCAGAAATAACCACTCACAACTATGGACTGCAAATTTTTGACAAAAATTGTCACAAACATCACTAGAAGCAGCCATCTTATTTAATACATGGTGCTGGCAAAACAGATATTGACATGAGGAAGAAAGAAATTATAACAGTACCTCTCACCCTGTACAAATCAATTCAAAGTAGACATTAAATGAAATTAAATTGAAACCAGAAATTCTGAGATAACTAGAAATAAACATAGAAAACAAAACACAGGTATGGGCAAAACCTTTCTGGATAGAATCCCAAAAGCACAAAAAAAAATAGCCTCAAGAATTGACAACTATTACTACATGAAATTAGAAACTTCTTCACAGCAAAGGAAATTCTCAGCAATGAACAGACTACAGAATGAAGAGCAGACATTTAGGAAGAAAAAAATAGGATGCCAAAAATTGCTGCCAAAGAGTCGGCATTATTTTTTTCTTTGTAAACTATTGGGAACAGACAATGCATCAGAAACAACATTCTGCATCCTTTAACAGACAAAACATTTTCTAATGTTCCTAGGAATCTAATCCGTAATCAAACATAGTAACTAGTGATGGTACAGAGGCCTATAGACAGGTATTTGACTGCTGCAGTCATGAAACACCAATCCTTCATGCTCTTGCTTCTGTGGAAAGCCCAGACATTTTACTTAACCCTACATTGTGTCATGCTTGAGTGGGGGGTCACTTTACCAGCATTTCTGCCTTCAGAAAAGACACACCAGTAAAACACGGGTGAACCAGTGGAGCTGTGGAGATTCAACACAATCTCTGGTCTTGGCAGAGGAGTTGGAGAATTAGATTTAATGTGCATAAAGTGTTTACTGTCTTGCAGATAGAAAGTACCATGTAATTACCAGGGACTACTATACATTCAAGGTGACAGTAAAAATATAGCCTTATGAGATCACAGTCATACTGTGCTATTGTTTAAAATACTTAGACGAGGAACTCGGATTTTCAGTCCCACTAAATCTCTCATGAAATGGGACAGGGAGAGGAGGTGGAGGAAGAAGACAACCCTATCATTAACTGACTTGGGATGCTTGGGTGAAAAGAAGTGGGTACTTGGGTTTTACAATCATCAGAAATCCTTGTATTCATCAGGCTTCTTGCCACTTACAATTTTATATCCGCATTCTCACTGATGGTTTTACCCAGTGCTTTCCCATTCCTGGCTAGCCTTTATGGATGACTCTGAGATGTGCCACATCTTGCCACTGTATTTACCAACTGGGTTGAAGGATACACAGAGCACAATGGCAC